TCAGTTAGGTCTTTTGTTTATGTTTATGATCTATAGCCTACTGAGTCTATACTGATATTTTTTAAATGCTGTAATAATAATTTACAGGGAATAAGTCAGACTCTTATCCTGAGTTTTATGAGAAATATTAAAAACAAATTTTGTGTAAATAGTGATAAGATACCCCTGCCGCAGCAAACCTGCAGACTAAGCAAATTTTCCATTTGTCTGATTATGATTTCACAAAAATAAGTTTGAAAAATACACTATTGACAGGTTTGGAACTATTTTTGATAGCTTTTCGTTTATAGTATAAACCATTCAACATGTTATTTGGTTATATTTTAAAATCTATCATTGATTTTTGTATCTTAGGTAGTCTAACTAAGTGTTAACAGTCTGAGTTAACCCATTGGGGAAGGAATTAATCCGCTACCTGCAGCACCCTCTGGCGGCAATTAATTTTACCGAATTTGTAGACTTTTACTCTAACTGCTATAGAAAGAAAACCTTAGGTAATAAATTAATAATTCTTTCACCATTTTGTTCACAGTAAAATTGTCTACAGAAAAGTGTTAATTGGATAGTCAAAGTTCTAAACTAAAAAAATATATATATAAAGATTATAAAAATAAAAATTTTAAAAACAATATTTTGAAAGTAAACTTGATATACAAATTCCAAGATTAATCCAGACACCAAATAACACTACTATTATAAAGGTCGATCGATTCCCTACGTAGAAAAATCAAAAGTTGTGTACTTTTATAAGTAATAACATTTAAAAAAAATTGTTTGTTTACCTTACCGCAGCTGATTTTTGGTGATATGTGGTTTCCATGGCAACACAAAATTGTTTGTTATTCGCTAAAATAAATGAGTAAATACGCAAATCAAGAAGCAAGATATTTATAAACATTATAATAGTAAGAAGAAACAAAAATGGCGAAAAATAATAATAACTAAATAAAAAATGGCGCTGCCTAGCGGTGACACGAACGGCTCTCGTAAGTCGGCCTCCGGGCCTGCAGCGGCCGTACGAGTAACGCTCGTAAGTCGGCGCCAATGGGTTAACAAAAACGTACTATTATCAAGTAAAGTAATACCATTGACTATATACACCTCTACACTGCTTTAGAGGTGTATAGTCAATGGTACAGTTCAATTTCGTTTCTAAATTAAATGGTAGTACTGTAGTGAAACAATTTTTAAGCCATTTTTAAAGAACAGACAATGACTTTTTTGCATACTGACCCCGTTGCAAGGCACAGGTATAGCTGCTAGTTCTGTTATATCTGTTAGTCTGACAAATTGTACTATTTCTTTTTATACTGCATATTACTGTATTTCTTATGTTCTTTGACGTTGTCTATAGCAATGTAATGTTGGCAAATGACAATAAATGGATTCTGATTCTGACATTATTTTCATATTTATGGGGGATTTTATGGGGTAAAAATTGGTTTTTCTAATTTTTTTACCCTTAAAACATAAAATTTTGCAATTTCTTTCCAAACCATTTTGTAGAGCTTAAAAAACAAATAATTTAGTATATTGAAGCGTTACTCTGTGCCGAATGGTTACGGAGAAATTAAAAAAAAATGTAAAATTAAAATTCCCATGTTATTCTTATGTAGAATAAGTAAACTGTTGTTGTTTGCTTTGTTTATGAGCATATTTTTATCACATTTGGAAAATGCATTTATTTAATACTAAACTATTAACATTTTACAAAAAAAGCTTTTTACCCTCCCTGTTGCAGCAAACCTAGAGTACTCGTTAAACTAATGCTATTTAAATAGGTAATAATTGTGATATTTTTAAGGAGACATTTTAGTATAAATCCCATTAGGCAATTGGAAATTATTCGCTTAGTCTGCAGGTTTGCTGAGGCGAGGGTATCTTTTTATTATAACTGTAAATTAAATCATTCAATTTATTCTTGATATAATAAGAATTATTTGTATTGTATTGTTTGTTCTCTATTTTTTATTCAACCCAAGGATAGAACGGGTACACAGCTAGTTTTATTTTTAAAAAAATATTGTAATTTTTACGTTACAAAGCTTTTTGAATTTTCTTCCTTTCAGATATAATGGCCAACTACAATGTGGCTAGAGCTTAGATCTAGATATACAAGTTAAATAGACATATTATTTTATCTTATAAGTACCGGTTGTAGGAAATTATTATCATACATGTATGGACTCTTCTATGTACAAAGCACACTCATTAATAAATATGTATTTTTATATATCACCTTAATTAGTTTTAATTATTCTAAACAGTGTTTGCTAAACTTGTGCCTGACATCAGCTGCTTAGTCTACTGTGAAGAATAAGTTTATACAGTATACCTTTAAGGATTTAAAATTATTATTTAATGATTAAGTGGGTGTTTTAAGGTATAAATGTAGTTAACAAAAAAATTGAATATGATTTGAGATTATTTATGCCTACTATTAAAAAAATAATAAAACCGTATTTTATAAGTTTGAATCTCTTTTGTTGTTTTATGATTCCAAATAAAATATACACTTAAGTTTTAGAAGTTGATTATATTTTTTTTTATTTATTCACACACCCTTTGAAGATTTGTCAGATAAAACTACTTTAAATATATATACATGCTACATAGCATATCTGTTTATTCCAAATCTGGGACCAAAACAATTTGTTAATATGAAATTTTGTTTTATGGCTTAGGCTTGGGAAATGAATAAGGAGTACAAGATTAAAATTTGTGCTGGTTAATGAACTCAATTTGATGTTATACTGTACAAAATATTAATTTGAATTTTTTCAATTACATTACCGTACCGGTATAAAAAAAATTTTATAACTTGTTTTTCCTAGCACTAGCACATAATTAAGTGATATAATAACAAGCACAGTAGATTGCTACTGTTCATCATAACACACTTGTGACCATACTGCACAGCCAATCAAAACAATGCATTTCTCTGTTTCACATTATGCCGCGATGATTACAATAAGTGATATAATAACAAGCACAGTAGATTGCTACTGTTCATCATAACACACTTGTGACCATACTGCACAGCCAATCAAAACAATGCATTTCTCTGTTTCACATTATGCCGCGATGATTACAATAAGTGATATAATAACAAGCACAGTAGATTGCTACTGTTCATCATAACACACTTGTGACCATACTGCACAGCCAATCAAAACAATGCATTTCTCTGTTTCACATTATGCCGCGATGATTACAATAAGTGATATAATAACAAGCACAGTAGATTGCTACTGTTCATCATAACACACTTGTGACCATACTGCACAGCCAATCAAAACAATGCATTTCTCTGTTTCACATTATGCCGCGATGATTACAATAAGTTATATAATAACAAGCACAGTAGATTGCTACTGTTCATCATAACACACTTGTGACCATACTGCACAGCCAATCAAAACAATGCATTTCTCTGTTTCACATTATGCCGCGATGATTACAATAAGTTATATAATAACAAGCACAGTAGATTGCTACTGTTCATCATAACACACTTGTGACCATACTGCACAGCCAATCAAAACAATGCATTTCTCTGTTTCACATTATGCCGCGATGATTACAATCAAAACATGTGGATGTAGATTCAGTGGCTACTATTATTTTCATACTATCGATTATTTATAATTGTTGGTTACTGTTCAAAATTGTCATTGAATCATTACCCTGAACTGACATCAATAATTCCAATTAATTTCCATTATTAAAAAAGTAATTGTGTTAAATCTCAAAATATAAAATGTTAACTACCGTACCTATTTAACTGGATAAAATATGAAAATGAATAACAGTATCATTTGGCACAAAAATGTAGTTTTAGTGACATCATAGAGTGTTTAAAACTTTTTTCAATGGAGCATTGATTTAAATTTACATTTAAAGTTTAGTTTTTAGATCAAAATATTGACTGAGCTACCATTTAATAATATTATTATGTTATGTAAGTTAAATTGTTGAAGTGAGTATTTCCTGTGTACATTGAAATAATGTAATGTGTATGCACTGTTATCTGATAAACATAAATAAAAAGTGATTTCTTGTTTGTGACAGCAAATATATTGTTAAGAATATTATTTTTTACCATAAGTGTACTTTTTGACTTGATTGATACTACAATTATGGGCATATCCTGCTTGGAAATGTTGCAAAAAGCTGTAGGAGACAGTATATGTTTTTGAGTGACTGAGATTATGGCTCTTACACGGTTTAAAGAAATCAATAATTCCTCACTCGCTCAGATTTACCTATTTTTAATATAACAATGGGGATCAAGGATAATATCTCTGAAAGAATAAAAATTAAAGTTCGAAAATATAAAAAAGAACATTAATTTTATACATTTCCAGTATGTAATCATTACAGTATTTAGAGCTTTAGTTTTATTGGTTCAGTTTACCAGGGTCTCAAGTGGGCCATAGTTTTCCTGGATGGCCGAAAAGCAGAATATTGGTTTTGTATTATTTTGTCCCAAAATTTGATTTACAATGACGAGATCTTAGTGAATATGCAAGTACAATTAGGAATCCGTGTTTGTATATTGTTCAATATGATTTAATTCACAAAAAAGGATTAACAACTTTATTTTAAGTTTGAAACATCTACATAACACATTTTTATAAACAAACTGTAAAAAAACATATATTTCTCTTCACCACCACATACTAGAACGTGCAAGCACCAAGGGTGTATCATTCCCAACAAGTTATGTCATCTGCACCACCACCTCTTTAACTGTACACTAAATGTTAACAAAAAGACCAAACAGACAAAGACAAGAGAAGAAGTGTCATGTTAGTCACAGAAGCAGTTGCAGTGCTAACTCTGGTGTGGTATCTGTCATTAGGAGAGTAGCCATAAGACGGTCGGTCCCCCCGCTCACCTGTGCCCCCCACCACCTCTGCCAAGTCTGGGCGGGGGCGGGGGGCAGCGAGCCAGGGGGGCTGCCATGGGCGGCGAGCAGGTGACATGCCGACACCTACCTTGGACGGAAACAACGTCACGTTGAGTAGTGTCGGGTGTTCTCCGACGACCATCAAGTCCATCTCACGAGGTGCAAAACCATCTGCGTACACCTGGCGCAGAAAATACAAGTTAGAATATGGTAAAGAACATAATTTAAAGGATCAATTTAGTCAATTTACATGGATCCTGAAACAATCTCTGGTTGTTTAAATAGGTAGTAAAGGACATAGATTTTTAAAAAAAGTATCAGAGTTTTCCAGAATTTAAGTTACAGGCTGGTTAAACATCACCTGTTCAGTAAAAATCTTGGATAACCAGTTTAGTACAGCAAAAGGGACAAAAACACAAAATTTAGACCCAGCAAATAAACTCTGGTCATGATTGTTGGGTTTCTTTACGACTGCTATATACTGATTTTTGAAAGTCTTGTAGCCTATTACCTCAAGTTTATAGACGCCTGGTAATAGTATTCTCCAGAATTCTCCATATTTTGTAGTCTGGAAGCCAACATCCCTTCCTTTTACTTTGAGTGAAGCTTTCTCTATTGGGTTTCCATTTTCGTCCATGACAAAACCATGAACACCTCTATGAGCTTCAGCTAAGAACTTCACCAGCGACTAAAAAAATCATATTTTTAACCATTAGAGTATGTAAATAATGAATTATTCATGTTGGATACATTAGCGAGGGTTGGAATGCTCAGCTTTATTTGTTATTATGTAGGGGGATGTAATCATAATTCAGGGTATTCAATTCATGAAATTGTCAGGGTATTCAAAAAGAAAGGTTGAAAACCATAAATTGGAAAATCAAATCATTAAGGATTATTTAAATAACCTAAGCTTGATTGTTTACTTTTGTGAGCATTATATGTTTTTGAAGGCCTCATAAGGTACTTTTAGCGAATATCCCATCTAGGGAATATTAGGGAATTTCCGATATAGAAAATTAGCTATTACTTTAGGTCTCATGGTAGGCCCTGGACACAGGACCGATTTACTTTTTCATTTTGAGGTTCCCAGAAGCCAAAAAAACCGTCCGCTCAATTTAATATACCTACGTGTGTCGGTTAGCACAATAACTTGAGCAAAAATGATCCGATTTTGATGAAATTTAGTATAAACATCCAATAAACCCTCGTTCCCATAGTCTGATCATGCTAGTTTGCGGACTCGTTAAAATAAATGCAGGTTTACACGTTTATACCAAATTTCATTAAAATCAGATCATTTTTGCTCGAGTTATCTAAAAGGCACATATATAAATAAATATTTATATACATTTGTAAATGAAATAAATAATTAAACATTTATTACCCTTTAAGCTATTAATTTATTGAATAACTAACATGTTTCGGCTCTTTTAAGCGGCCCACACAGGGGGGCACTTGTGGGCACACATGTGACGTACGAACAGCTTGAGGAGCATGTGCTCCTATGTGTGGGTAAATGTGCCCATGCTCACGACGTGCATGAGAGGCACCTGGTGCCTGCCACCGGACCTTCGAACATCGTCACAAGTGCGCGAGCTTGTTATGATGCGCGCCAGTCTGTGGGTAACCTCAGCATATGTTCGCGAACAAGCTGCACTGTCACTGCTTATAAATCGAGAACTACTAGGTCTCCGCATGCGTGGTTCACAGTGGTTGTTCAACATTTACTGCCCCATTTGTTGTATTTTATTTGTCCTTGTTTGTTTGGCTATTAATTTCTTTTTTGTGCGGTTAAGATGTCCATCAATGACCAAAGAAAGTTTTGGTCTGAGTTTATCGAGCTTTATAGATCAGAGACGTGTTTGTGGGATGTAAAAAGTGTAAACTTAAAAAAAAAAAAAAAAATACATGCGAAAAAAATATATGGAGCTATTGATGTCAAAATGCAAGGAAGTGTTTCCTGACATTTAGAATGAGTTTGTGAAGACTAAAATTCATTCTTTGAGAGCTTCATATCGACGTGAATTAATAAGCCTATTAAATCTAAGTCTACATACCTTATATTCTAATTATACTTAAAATTACTTAGTTCTCGCTCTTTTTGGGCCTTTAAGTGTATTGTAAACCCGAAAAATATAATAGGTACATTTATCTAATAACTCAGCCATTATTGAAGTAAAATCACGTCTGATGCCTTATTTGAAGGCTAATTTTAATCTTTAGTGACTTTGCTTACAGCTTTAAAAATAGTCCTTACTAAAATAATACAAAATGAAATAAAATATTAAAAAAAAAAATACTAAGGTGACAGTTCAATTGTGTTTATTTAGCAGAGCGTAGCGAAGCTCTTTGGGATCAACTTCAATGCAATCTTTATAACACTTCATCTCAATAACGGCTGAACATATTTTAGCGAAACTTACCAAGATTGCTTTGTCAAATATTTGGATGGTTTAGACGTCACCAATTTCAAATTTTGATAATACCTATATAGTTCTAAAGTAACTCAAAATTTTAACATTGGTCTTATGGGTTGCCATGATGGTTAGAAAATAACAACGTAGCCTAAATGTAAACAAAACAAAGAATCATAGCATATGTTCAAATCAAGCCACGACCTAAACACAGTACAAAGGGAAAAAATTTGGATGATAACAACTGATCAAATAATACAGAGAAAGTCTTAGGTTCACATTTAAGTCACAATTTGGAAAGTACCACTGATCGAATAGATAAAACATATACTTTAATTGGTACAGTATTTAACAGATTTGATTTACGTAGCTAAAAGGTTATAACAAATAACATTTTATCTTAAACAATTCGTAGGTTGAACCACATTCATGGATCAATCTCATATAAATGGCAAACTTAAACAGGTGCACGACGTAGGAAGTACTAGGCCTAATAGCGAGAAGTGCGGAGTGTGAGAAACGTTTGTGGCAGTTAAATAAATATCTAAAATACAAAAATGCTATTGGAAGGGTGGAAACAAGTCCACAACGTAGGAAGTTGTGAGGGAAGTAGTAAAGGCTGGCAGTGCGGAGTGTGGGAACCGTTTTTGGCAGTTACATTAATGTATCTGCAATACTAAAATGTTAGAGGAAGGGAGGGTAACAGGTCCAAGACGTAGGAAGTACTGAAGGAAGTAGTAAATGCAAACAGTCCGGAGGGTGGGAAATGTCTGTGGCAGTTATTAATGTATCTGCAATCTTAAAATGCTATACCGCTGGAAGGGAAGGAAACAGGTCCAAGACGTAGGAAGTGGTGAAGGAAGTAGTAAAATTGAATGCTCCGGTATGCGGGAACCGTCTGTGGCAGTTTGATTAATGTATCTGCAATCCTACAATGCGATGGGAAGGGAGGGAAACAGGCCCACAACTTAGGAAGTGGTAAATGAAGTAGTAAAGGCTAGCAGTGCAAAGTGTGGGAATGCTTTCGGACAGTTATATCAATGTATCTAAAATATTAAAATCCTATGGTAAGGGAAACAGGTCCACGACGTAGAAAGTGGTGAAGGAAGCAGTAAAGACTAGCAGTGCGGAGTGTGGGAACCCTTTGGGGCAATTAGATTAACGCATTAAAAATTCTAAAATGCTATGGGAAGAAAGGGGAACAGGTCCACGACGTAGGACGTGGTGAAGGAAGTAGTAAAGGTACAGTGCGGAGTGTGGGAATACTTTGGGGCAGTTAAATTAACGTATCTAAAATACTAAAATAACTATGGGATGAAAGGGAAACAGGTCCACGACTTAGGAAGCAATGAAGGAAGTAGGAAAGGCCAGCATTGTGGTGTGTGGGAACTGACAGTGTCAGTTAGATTAATGTATCTACAATCTTAAAATGCTCTAGGGAAGGAGGGAAACAGGTCCACGGCGTAGGAAGTGGTAAAGGAAGAAGTAAAGGCTAGCACTGCAGAGTGTGGGAACATTTGTATTTTGTATTATACCTATAAACAGTTTTTCATTTATTGCTTTATTAAAAACCATGAAACATGATTGCTCCGCTCAACTGGCTTTCACTGCTAGTTATAATGATTTCAGTATAACTATTGTATTTGCTGTTGTAGCCCACTATTTGCATTGTCAAGACAGTGGTGCGCGCAAGTGTGAGTGTGGTCACCATTTAAGCCGCACATGTTCCTCGAGCCGCTCACAGTCACTTCACCACGAGCCACGCAAGACACATGCGGGCTAGTGTGTGGGCCGCTTTAGGCCATGATCACAGTTATGAACAAATAGTAAATAAACAGAAATGTAAATAATAATAGGTAAATTATCATATGATTTTGGAATTTTGTCTTGTAACAACATCGGTTGGCTCAGGCGTTGTTTTCTTTTGATTTATTATATAAGATTTTTTAGCATATTAGGTTTTCTTTTTGGATTTGCATTGTATTGAGTATGTTTTCAGGATCTTTTTACGGTGGCTATGTAGAATCTATATATTAATTAAGTAAACCAATTCTTTGCGTCAAAATTGTGGGCGACTCGGAAGTCGTAGAATGACGGGGGAGGGCTCAAATTAAAGGTCTCGATCCCGTAACGGCGTGAAAAATATAGTGAAATCCCAAATTTTAACACAAAATTAGATATAACGTAAAATTATCTCCATAAGAATAGCATTAGAAGCCATTTACTGCTTGATTTTTGTTTACTTCAATACAGCTGATCGTGATTTATTATTAAGCCAGTAAGCAATATTACATTTAGATTACTCATTTGCCAGTCAATTCTGCAATGTAGTGTATACTGTATAAAACCATCAGAAGTAATGTAACCCATGATTGAGAGTTTTCCGTTATAATAGAATGTTGAAATAAAATTATTTTATTGTGCAATTTGCAAATTTGTGTATTTTTATGTAAATTAGTTAGCGTATGATAATTACTGTAGTTGAATCATGTGAGATGGATCAAATCAAAGTAATTGAGCTATTTATAATAACATAAAAAATAAATAGAGTTACAACATTTTAACAGAAAATGTGGTAAAAGGTAAAATAATTTATATCCCGATGAAACACTTCAGTTTTGTTTTTTAAGGGTGTTTGGACGCGAGCAGACACTCGCGGTGAGATGCCGTAGTTCCCCAAGTCGCAACGCGGCGCGCTGGGGGTACCGTTCGGAGGCTGCTGGAACTGTGTGTGTTAGCTGGGGGAGGTTGGCAGGGGGGTGTTAGGGAGGGACAGCCTCACCTCCCGCACCAACGCCACAACCACACCACACCACGCCACTCACTCAGTCCGTCCCTTGTACCTGAGTGCTCTCAACTACGCAAGGCTCTCGCGGCACATGCAGCACCATTAGCCAAGCGAGATAAAAGTTAAAATTGGCAGCCAACGTAAACTCTGTACAGACATTTTTCCAATTGGTCATTATTTATATTATCAGCTTGAAGAATATGCCTTATGGTTTTAAGTTAGGCCTATGTTAATTTTTAAAAGTAAATAAGATGTTCTCTTCTTTATAACAATTAAACACTATAAGAATGAATAAAGGTGTTACTAAACATTGTAACTGAATGCAGTAATGAAAACAGTAAATAATTTTCATTAATTTTAAACAAAACCAATGAGTTCAACCTAGAAAAAACTACTGTATTTGCAAATTTTTAATTAAGGTTTACAATAAAATATGGCACATTTAGGATTCACAAGAGAAATGTATTTCATCAAAAACAAACA